AAAAAAAATTATCTTGTTAGTTAGAGCACGTTTAGTCAATATTGCTCTTTTTAGTTTTGGTTTTAATTGTTAAAAAATTAACAATACTAAATAAAAACTAATAAAGTCAAAATTTTTTTATTTTCTGCTATTTATTTTGCAATTTTGTAATTGAAAGTTAATTTTCATTTTTAATTATTAATTTTAATTGTTTAAATTTTAATAGCTACAGTGGAACTAAAAATAAATAAATAACAGCATTAAGCCTTAAATTTTCATAGCCATGATTCTTCCATTAGATTTTAATCAGAGATGCTCACATATGTTTTATAATTGTTATTACTTTGAGTTGCATAATAAAAAAATAAATATCTCCTATCATTTTATTCACTTATATCTATATGTTTATGACTGAATTCAAAACTTTTTATTTTCACAAATAATAAATTATTACTTTTATTGTCTCAAAATAACGATTGTTTTTTAAATTTAAATTTACATTAAATTTTTTTTATTTTTTAAAGTAAATAAATATTTTTTATTTTAACATTATTATTATCTATTTATTTTTATTAATTATTTATCATAAAAAATTTTATTTTATTTATTTAATTATTTAAATAATATTAATAAATACATAAATAGTCTCCAAATCTTTAATTTTATTTTTTAAAAAAAACAACAACATCTATTATATAACAGAGGGAGTACTAGCTTACAAAAATCATTTGCTGCGACTAATAATTATAAATCACATCTATAGAAGATTAGATTGCTTAGAGCCTTAGATTCGAAATCCTACAATTATTGTTAAAGGATAATTTTCTTAACTTATAGAGTAATAGCGTGTGTAAATGGCCATGTTAGGACATAAAGCGAAAGGCATGATGAGTCAACCAAGCTCTATCGTGCTGTGTCATGCTGGCACCAACACGAAATTGGCTGATTCGAAAAAAACTGGTTAAGGAAATCAAACGGCTAAGGACAAAACTTTGACTTGATCTCCCTCAATGTCCCAACGTCTCTCAGGACCAATTTTTTAACCTACAAGGCACACAAATCAAGCCTCGACATAAGATCTAAGATTTAATTTTGTTGGGTCATGAATAGCCCCATTAGCCAACTTCTGAAAAGAATTTGTCTTTACTTGGAAGTTGGAAGATCTAAGATTAAAATTTGGCTTTTGATTTTTAAAGCATGTATGGAGGAGTGTTTCTTTACAACTCCTACATATTATCAATTTA